TCAGTAAACTTTTAGTTCTGATCTGATATGTGCTTTTTCCTAGCAGATGTGCTCAGGTGAGCGCTGTGGCCCCTGGGCCTCTTGTTAAAAATACTATAAATTTCATATCATGATTTTTTTTAAATAAAAGTGATTAATGATTGATTCTAAAATATTTTGTCACACTGGCAGTGATATATAATCTCTGTGGCTTGCTTGATATCGCTGATTTACTAGCAAAACTTCAATAAACGTGAGTGTTAACGTTTTATCCTCTAAATTATAAAAAAAATCAGGAAAAAGAGTTTGGTATTCTTGAAGAATAAAGAATAGGTTCAGTGAGTATAATTTTACTACAGTTGATGCATAAGTGTCTTCTTTGAACTAAAATGAGAAGGGGATTTAGGGCAATTTTTCAGTTTCCATGTAATCGGATGCCAATGAGTTAAATGATTAGTTAGAATTAAAACATAAATAATGTGTTTCTGTTTTAAAAGTTGATAATGATAATATCTTACACTTTTCACCCAGAACTTATTTTCATATTTTTTTAAGAACAGGACAATAAATTTTGTCGTGTCTCTTTACTGAATTTTTTCAAATTCAAGAATTAGTATACATTTTTATATATTTACTATCGTATACGGTGAAAGAAAGAAAAAAAATATAAAATATATTGATGGGAAGAAATGAACTATTACATTTAATTCATTTCATTGATGAAATTATATTAAACGAGATTTTATAAAATAATATCAATTTATAAATATAATTATTAAATAATAGATATGAAATAGATAATGAAAGAGAGGTGCACCCCTCTCAGTTTCAATGTTTGTTTTTTTTTATTTGTACTTTTTGTACGCCTTTTAGAGTACAGAATCCACAGTCAAAATTGTAAGGTCACGGTGCCTTTATTTGATTTTATTTCATGGCTATTGTAGAAATCAGTAGAAAAGCAGGTGCTTTTGATTCATTGGTGATGAATTTTCATAGATTTTGTGCTACTGTTAAGGCCATCTTCAAAATATACTGTTTAGTTGTCCTCTCTCGTTTCTTAGTCCAATTATAGGGTCGGTATGTAAGTGAGGAAATATATTTTTTCCCCAGAAAAACATTAAATAAATTAAAAAAAAAAAAGAGTCCTGCAATATAGAAAAAAGTTTCAAGTTGGGCTATTTTTACTCAGTCGGACGGGAGAGGATAACCAGTCTGAACAATTTTACACAGAACATTAATTTCATATGTAAGGCACCTGTGATGATGTTCACGAAACAGAACCTTTGTAGCAAAAGATAAAAATCCAAACAAAGTTAGAGAAATTAGAGTTTCAGGTAACTACTCAGATAGCGACTTTGGACGACATACTTGAACTTCCGGATTTTAATCTGAATAAAGTGATAATAAAAATGTATGTTGAAGGTTATGAGAATAGAGTATTCAGAGGAGGTGAAAACTTTTTCAATAAAGTCAATGTGAGAGAGGTATTAATGGAGTGGATGTGGCTAAAAACTGGCCCGGCCGGTCAGGAAATAATAGACTTTTTAACTCGTCATGGGTTTCAACCAACAGGACCGTCCTTAGCTACGCAGCTTCTGCCTCTTCACAATAGACTCTCTTGGCCAAATGATGTTTTATGGAGACGGAAATGATAAAACATAAAAGTCTAGTCGACGTACAATGTAAAATTTCTGTTATAAAAAAACACAATTACAAAGATAAGAAGGGTATTGGTGAAAAAATAAAAATCAAATACAAAAAACATGTTTTCCATTTTGTCTACTTTTCATTAAGACTGCATTTAGTAATACGGTAAAGGGTGCGTTACCGATTTTCTTCTAAAAATTGCTTTCATGGGGTATGTATTACATGCAAAACTATATTATGTGACACAGTAAGTGTTTGAGCTTTTGTTATTCCAGTGATGACAATAATCATTGTTATCTAGTTTATCAAATTTAGTTGGGAATAATTCAATAATCTCCCTTTCTTTACTGTTTTGTACAATTTCTTCCATTCATTAGCCATGGCATGGGTAAGATTTTTATGATAAATATAGTTACTAGTATTTGAATATAGGTGATAGAACTCATTCTAATTTTAAAAGGTTATATATATATATATATATATATATATATATATATATATATATATATATATATATATATATATATATATATATATATATATATATATATATATATATATATAGATTTTAGTTGATGATATCGCATACTTGTATACATGTATACATGTATACACGCATACATGTATTTGCATTTCTTACAATAATTAGTATTGAATGGCCTCTTCCTGAAGACAATGTAACTTCAACGCAAAGTAAAGAATATCATATTAAGGGCCTTCAAAGTGCGATTTCATTTCCTTAGCAGTGATTCAAGATTGAGAAAAATGATTTTGTATTCTGAAACAAGAATTTTAAAGAACGATTTATAAAAGTTTCTCGGAACTTTTCGAGCTGAATTTGATCCAAATTGTCTAATATTTCGGTATTGCATTGATAAGATTCTCTGAAAAGTGTCAGTGTTTTTGTGCACAAAGAGGGGTGGGGTGGATGGGTACACTACTCTTAAGAGACTGGGGGTCAACAAATTAGCCATCAGATATAACAGAATTTTTTTTAAAGATATACTAGTATCTTAAGCTGTCAACTATCATTTGGCAAAGAAAAATTCCATACGTTTAGTTTAAAATTTAAACATTTTTCTATATCTATTTTCTATATGGAGCTCTTGTTCTGAAGAAGATCAAATGGCCACAACCACCCAGCCCCTTTAAGTTATTAATCCACAAAAGCGACCCATAGATTAATCCAATTCACTTATAAAGGAACTTGATTTCAATTGACCATAAGGTAAATCTGGATGTCCTTTTCTCTCGTTCTTTTTTTATGTCCCCGTAAACGAAGTTTCATTTATTTTTTTTCTATATTTATTTATACTTTCCCTCTGTCATTACTATTTATGCATTCAAAGACTTAATTAAACGTTTTCTTTCTAAAAAAGGTAAATGCATAGGCATATCATGTATAATCCTGAGAGCAGTCTTTTCATGCATAGTTCGAAATGGTGATACATGAATTACCTATATCTCAAAAGACGCTATTTGAATACTAGTAGGTGATTTCCAATCAAAGTGGTCATTATGGTCCATACAATGATCTTGGCAGCAAATTCAATCTGTTACATGTTTGAAGTCAGATGCAGTCTGACGCTTTTCATACGAATCATTGTACACACTGCATTGTCGACAGATTTTTCCGCTGTATCCTGATCATGACAAAAAGAACCTGCGGATGTGACTGGTTGGCAGGGTATCATCTAACAAGACCGTCCTTAGCTACACAGCTTCTGCCTCTTCACAATAGACTCTCTTGGACAAATGATGTTTTATGGAGAAGGAAATGATAAAATATAAAAGTCTAGTCGACATATAATGTTATGTTTCTGTGATAAAAACACCGTTGCAAAGATAACAAAGGTTATGGGTGAAAAAAGAAAAGTAAAATTCAGGAAAGCATGTTTTTCATTTTGTCCACTTTCATTATTTCTGCATTTAGTAATAACCCAGGGGTTTTGCTATGATTTTCTTCTTAAAATCGAATTAATGGGGTTTGTTTTACATGCAAAACTATATTATGTAACACTGTAAGTGTTTAAGCTTTTGTCATTCTAGTGATGACACTATTCATTGTAATCTACTTAATCAAATTTACTTGGAATGATTTTATTATCTCTCTTTCGTTAACTGTTTTGTACATCCTTCCACTCAATAGTCATGGGTCAGATTTTTATTAATAGAACTATCTAGATATAGGTAAAATCTCTCATTCTAATTTAAAGGGTGATATATATTCAATTCCAGTTGGTGAAATTGCCTTCTTGAATGTTTTTGTTTAGGTGATATAATATATTTGCATTTCTTACAACATTAAGATATGAGTGGCCTCTTTCTCAAGACAATCTAACTTCAATGAAAAGTAATTTTTTTAAGGCCTTTAAAGTTCTTTTTTTTTTCTAAGCATTGATTCAAAATTAATGAAAATGACTTTGTATTCCGAGAAAATACTCTTAAAGAACTACTATAAAAGTTTCTCTAAACTTTTGAAGCTAAATTTGATCCAAATTGCATTATCTAATATTCGACTTTGCATTGATCGGATATACTAAAGATTCTCTGAAAATCATATCTAAATTTTTGCACAAATGTGATGCATATATTAAATGTAGTTTAAAATATCTTTTTTACACGTTACTTTTTTATAAGTTAGATTTAAGAATCTAAAGTGTTTCTATGATTCATGGGTTATCTAATAGATTGATTTATTTTCAGTTGCATGTTTAAATACTTAGTATTACATCTTTTCTCTCCTTTTACCGAACAATATATTTTTCGCTACAGACCTGAGTTGTATTTAACTGCTATATTCATGTAGGAAGCGAAACAACTCTAACTGCAAAATTGAGCATTTCAAACGGAAAGTTAATTTTGTGACGATAGAAACACAACTCGACTGTTATGGAAACAGTGAGGATAGTGTGCGTTGATCAAATATATTTAATTTAGTTTAAATATCTTTTTTTACACCGAAGTCTTTAGTAAGATGGATTAAAGAATCTAAAGGACTGTGGCGAATCTTTCAAAGCAAATGATATGCAAGCGCGGATTTAAAAAACAATTCAAAAACAAACAAATGTCTTCATTAATTGATTTACCTCGTCCTTAAATGGAATTTAAAACAAAAGTTACACATACTGCAACCTAAACCTAGAACTTATGGAATATTTCGTCTGGTTTTAGATTGAATTGGTAGGAACTTTGTAACATTGCCAAAGATGGCCACAAGTAGAACTAAAGCACAAGACGTTATCCTGTGTCACCTCTGTGACAAAAGACCCACCCTTCTTCACTGTAATCCCTGTCAGGTCAACTTATGTGAAGAATGCGTCGGAAAACACTATATGACGTCATCATCATCTAATCATGAAATTGAAGAAATCATGGTGAAAAACAAGAAGGATATTGCAAAAATGAGAGTAAATGGCGTTAAGAATTTGAAAGAATACCAGAAGCAAATCAAAAATTCACTTGAAAGCTTAAATGAATTTGCTCTACAGAACGAAAAGATATTTCAGTCCATGGACTTTAGTCACTTCACAAAATATGAAAGTAATATTCAGAAGTATCTAAAGATTCCCCCACAAATAGACCTGGAACTACCGGCTTTTGTTTCCAAGGACATAGATAAAGGTAAACTTTACCAAGATTTTGGAAAAATTATAGAACCCAAAATACAAATAGAAACGATCTACAGATCAGATGTATCCAATGAGCTCTTAGACAAAGCTGTAGAGATCGCATCCTTCCACACTGGAATAACACCGTTGATGAGGATGGCATGTCTAAATACAGAGGAGGTGTGGATTACGAGGAGAAATAAAACCATCACTCTTATTAACATTCAAGGTTCTGTACAGGAGACTATCATATCTACTTGTTATGACTTTCCTGGTGATATATTAGTTTCAAAAGAAGGACATCTGCTGTACACTGATACAGTAAAAAAAAAGTAATTTATGATGCCCACCAGACAACATCACAGATCACAGCACCACAGGGATGGCAACCATTAGGACTGTGCTGCACACAATCAGGTGACTTAATGGTCAGTATACGAACATTTAACTTTGAACATTATAAAGTTGTCCTCTATGAAGGTAAAAAAATAAAGCAGGAGATAGAGAAGGATGACCAAGGTAAACCACTATATAAAGGAGGAAATATGATGCTCTTTGTGTCACAAAACAACAACGGGGATATCTGTGCCTCTGATTGCAATGCTAAGGTAGTCGTCGTCGTGAACAATGCAGAAAGACTACGATTCCGATATAAAGGACAGCAAACGATGAAGAAGCAGTTTGCTCCTACCACTATTGTCACAGACTCCGCGGGTCGAATAATAATAAAGGATAAGGGGAATTTCTGTATACACATCATTGATCAGGACGGTCAGTTTCTCCGTAGTCTGGATTTCTGTGGAGCACTGTGTCTGGACACACTGGGAAGACTGTGGGTGGGGGATAATGAGAGTGGAATTGTAAAGGTCATCAAATATACAAAATAAATGTTTTTATATCTATGATATCAACTGATAGCAAATATTATAGAAATTCATATAGTCATATATTTGTAATCTAGTTAGTTTTTTTTTATTATTAAAATAATTGAGAGTAGTGTTTAACCAATCGTCAAAATATTGGGGAAGTGCTAATTTGATCTTTAAATTCTCTCATTAAAAAACTAAAAATGTAAGAACGTACTAAGATAAAAATATGGTGGGAATAGTTAATTAGGTGATTAGTTAAAAAGTCATGGAAACAGAACAAATCTAAAAAAATATTTATTTAATATTATTTAGTTTAAATTATTAATATTATTGACATCAAGATACTATTTGAAGAGAAAAACTTTGTGATGACAATCTGAATTCGCATACATGTATTACCATAATTTGTCTAATAATATTTCTGAAATAAATGTTGCAAATTCATGTAGAATAGTTGTGTATTTGTGGATAAAATCATATTTGTATATTGTTATGAGAAATAAAAAAGCTCAATATATTACTGACATTCTATTTTATTTTGCTTCTTTTCCATTGAAATACGTCGGGCTTAATTTTCTGTGAAGCGCAATCATATAATGCTTTTTTTAAAAATTAATTTTGAAAATGTTATCATTGTGCCAGTGAAACATGATCTAGACATTTGAATACAAAGTAAAGTTTACGTTTTAATTAACCTCTATAAAATAAAAAATTGTTTAGGAAAAGAGCAATCTGACATTCATAAGTAATAAAGGATTTGATTCGTGGATGTAATCTTACTACAAGTAATGGATATGGCGCTTCTATGAGCTTAATTGAGGGGGAAATTTTGGAGACAATTTATCAGTTTCTGTGTTTGGATGAGTTAAATGTCAATTAAATATATGTAGTTGAAATGAAGGCATAAGTTACTGATTATACTACCTTATACGTTTCACAAAGACATTTTTGAATATCTTCACTAACTTCAATTATCATGATCATTTACTTTGTTTTGTTTACTAATAATTAAATCATAAGGAATTCAATGATAAGAATGGGACGATATGAATTGTTGTGTTTTTCATGTGTATTTCTAAAAATTCAACAATTAGTAAACAACATTTATATCTTGTGTACCCATTCAACTGTTCACTATGGTATACAAACGAAAGAAAGTAAAATACAATAAGTGGATGGTGGAGATATGTATATTATTAGATCTAGACTGAATTCTTTTCATTAATGAAAATTATATGACATGATGTTTTTGAAATAAAATATAAGTTTGCCAAGGAAAAAATATTATGGAGATGAAATAGATAATTAAAGAGAGGTACGCACCCCCTTGGTTTTAATGCTCTATTTACAATAGTGCCTTATGTAGTCTATATCGAGGACAGGATCCAAAGCCGAAGTTACAATGTTTAGATCTCGGTGCTAACATTGGAGTTTATTTGATGGCAGTTGAAAAATTTTGTAGAAAAGTGGTTGCTGTTTATGCACTTACAATAAATATCCGAAGGCTGTGTGCTACAATGAATTGAACAATTTTACAGAGAACGTTCACTTGATAGAAAGTGCTCTTTCAGATGTTTACAATCTCTAGTTTCTCTAGGTGCAGACCGAGGAAATATAGGCGGAACCTTTGTAGCAAAAGATAAAAATCCAAACAAAGTGAGAGGAAGTCGAGTTTCAGGTAACTTCGGAAACGTCCAGACAGCAACTCTGGACGACAAACTGAAACTTCCGGGTTTTAATCTGAATAAAGTGATAATAAAAATGGATGTTGAAGGTCACGAAAATAGAGTTTTCAGAGGAGGCGAAAACTTTTTTAAATAAAGTCGATGTGAGAGCAGTATTCATGGAGTAGATGTGGCTAAAAACTGGCCCGGCCAGACAGAAAATAACAGACTTTTTAACTCGTCATGGGTTTCAACCAACAAGACCGTCCTTAGCTACACAGCTTCTGCCTCTTAACAACAGACTCTCTTTGCCAAATGATGTTTTTTTGGAGAAGGAAATGATAAATATAAAAGTCTACTCGACGTACATTGTTATATTTCTGTTATAAAAAAAAAACACGATTACAAATATAAGAAGGGTATTGGTAAAAAATAAAATTTAAATACAAATTGGCATGTTTTCACATTTTGTCAATTTTTCATTGTTAGTTCTGCATTTAGTAATAATCCAGGGGGTGCCGCTATCGATTTTCTTCTGAAAATGGTTTTCATTTGGTTTGAATTACATGCAAATTTTATTATGTGACACTGTAAGTGTTTGAGCTTTTGTTTTTCTACTGATGACACTATTCATTATAATCTAGTTAATCAAATTTACTTGAAATAATTTTTTTTATCTCTCTTTTGTTAAGTATTTTGTATATCCTTCCACTCAATAGCCATGGATAAGATTTTTATCAATATAATTATCTAGATATAGGTAATATCTCTCATTAAAAGGTGATATATATTCGATTCCAGTTGGTGAAATTGCCTTCTTGAATTGTTTTGAATAGGAGATATAATATATTTGCGTTTCTTACAGCATTAAGATATGAGTGGCCTCTTTCTCAAGACAATCTAATTTCAATGAAAAAAAATTGAGGCCTTCCAAGTGCGATTGTTTTTCTAAACATTGATTCAAAATTAATGAAAATGATTTTGTATTCCTAGACAATATTCTTAAAGAACGATTATAAAAGTCTCTTCAAATTTTTGAAGCTAAATTTGATCCAAATTGCATCGTCTAATATTTCGGCTTTGCTTTGATCAGATATACCAAAGGTTCTCTGAAAATCAGATCTAAATTTATGTGCACAAATGTGATGTTTGTATTTAATATAGTTTAAAATATCTTTTTTACACGTTACTTTTTTCTAAGTTAATCTTAAGCTTAAGGTCTGTGGTTCTTAAGTGTTTCTATGATTCATGGGTTATCTAGTAGGTTAATTTATTTTCAGTTACATCTTTAAATACTTAGTACCGTATAAGTGGAAATTTTAGCGAGACGCAAATTTAGCGATTTCTTCCTAAAAAATGGTATTTTATTTTCAGCGAGAAGTAATTTTAGCGATTTTAAAATGCTATATACTTAAAGAAACTATTACAAATAATACGCTATTAATTTTTAGCGATATTCAATTTTAGCGATGTCAGCACCCTCGCTAATAATGCCAAAATTAAATCCTCGCTAAATATTCTACTTATACGGTATTACATTTTTTCTTTCCCTTCACCGAGCAATATATTTTTCCTACAGACCAGTTGGATTTAACTGATATATTCATGTAGGAAGCGAAACAACTCTAACTACAAAATTGAGCATTTCAAACCGAAAGTTAATTTTGTCACGATAGAAACTTTGGGACACGACTGTTATGAAAACAGAGAGGTAATAGTCTTTGTTTTATTCATAAAGAGTATAATAAAAATAAACATTTTAGGGTAGCATCTGAAAATATATATTTCACAAAATCATACCTGTTCTCTGACCGCTGCGTATCAATTCTCACGAAATTTTTATAACTGTTATTTTCAATACGGAAGTTAATTTTGTAATGTTCAAACTATGCAACAGGCTGATATGAAACAGATAGGTAAAAGTGTTTGCTTTATATACTACAAATAAATTTAAATATAAATATATATATATATAGGGTAATATTTGAAAAACGTGCTCTCTCCAGGCTCGTTACTGACCGTGGCGAAGCCGATATCGTCGGCTTACAAAACATATACAGACACGTGAAGAGTGGCTTGGGGGTAAAAAGCTGAGTGGAGTGGAGTGGAGTGGAGTCGTGGAGTGGAGTCTGTATTATAACAATACAGATTGTTTGAGAACAAAACAATTTCTTTTGCATACAATGTGTACACTGTACCAAGAATGAAACAAGAAACAAAAGAAGTCCATGCAATCAAAAACTAACGACCTTTAAATGTCAAACAGAGAATCACTTAGAAATGCTTTATATAAACACTATCTAAACTTAGCAAGACTGTTTGACCTTATTCGCCTATCCCAAAACAGGCAAACCTAGCAAGAGATGTTGACAGCTTTAATATCAAACAGAGAAAGAGCAGAACTGATGACAGCAATTTTAAGTGCAAGATAGCCCCTTTGTTGGAATTTGAAGGTCACACATTTTTCTGTATCTCTATCTTTTTAATACGTATCTTCCTTTTCTGGTTTAAGTAGAGGACATGCTACAGAATAGAGTGTTAAGACTCGACTGATAAATACATATCAGCCATTGGATCTGTTGAAGTTTAATAATTGACCAGGATTAATTACTAGACTTAAAATAAATATAATTACCGGAATTGAAAACCTTAAAAAGTAAAATATTTATTGAAATGAGCTCAACAACTTGTGTTTTTTTTTTCCATTTTAAAATACACATTGTGCATTTTAAACGATGACACACAATTAACTTTAAATAAAATTATTTTACCCTTGTTTTTTGAAAAGGGAGCTGTTTTGATTTATACCTATAATTAGTTTCACCAATATTTGATCAAGCTTGTAAATGTGACTCATAACAAAATTAATACATATGATAAGTAATGTCCCCACCCTAAAACAAGTGCTTTCCTTTTATTTTGCTGATCAATGTATAACATGTATAACATGCAGTCTATCAACCAGTATATGTATCATTGAGACAATTATTTATTATTGATAAAAACATTTTGACAGAATTCATTGGGACTTTAAAAGAATGTTTATCCCTATAGCGATGTGATGAAATGTATTTGGTTACTTCTGATCATAAAGATGTGTTGTAAACTAAGTTATTTATATCTTATTGATTAATTATTATATGTATATAATTATATATACCGTAGTTGGAGGGGCAGATATAGTAACACATTTGTTTGTTTTAGTTTGTGTAAGTTAACAGACATCATTTAGATTTTTTTGCTGACAAAAGCAATATACCACTTAATTCAGTTCTTTTTTAAGCAAATTTTTATTTACAATCAACAACTGAGTAAGCATTTCAAGGGCAGTAATTAAATCTGTCAACACTTCTCGCGTGTTGGGATGGGAGTGCATATGGGTCACTTGGTCTCTGTTACTCAAAACAAAAAGTTATTCCCATTGATGTGTTGACATTTGAAGGTTATATCCCCCCCCTCATTTTCTCATTCATCTACAATATATGAACTATTATTGTAACAGTCTTTCAATGATCACAGACAGCTATAGCTTGGGCATATAGAGTTGAAAAGGAAAGGAGGGATTGTGTTCGATTACCTGAGTAATTTTTTGAATTCCATAGCTCTAAATCTACTACATAGTAACGTTCTGTAGTGTTTCCTACAATTTACCAATACCTGCTAACCTCTACGCCCAAAAGCAGAGATGTAAATATTTACACAAAATGAGAAATAACAAACAATTAAATAAGATAGTTTTACTTTTAGAAAATAATTTAGATAGAGATTGAAAGCTACCGCATTATATAATACAAGTAAAATAAAATAAAATTGATTTGAATGTAATGATTTTTTGACAAATCATTGAATATTTTGTACATTGTAGCAAACCATAAAATTTTAAGAACAACACAAAGTTGACAACATCCTGCTTGAACTAGTCATCTTTTTAAAAATAAAATTGAATGACCAAATACATTTCAGCACATCGCTATTGGGACAAACTTTCTTTTAAATTCTCCATTGACTGCATGTTATATATTGACCAGCAAAATACAACGAAAACACTATTTTTCCCCATTACTTATGATATGTATAATTTTTGTTCTGGTCACATTTTAAAATAAGCTTGATCAAATATTGGTGAAACTAATTTTGTGACAAATTGTATGTTGTTTTACATCCCTCTCGAGAATTTAAACTCATATTTAGACCCCATCACATGCGGATGGAGATTGAGCTGTAATTTTTGTCCTATACTCGCACTGTACTTGATCATTGAGCAGTGAAGGGTATTTTTCGTGCTAGTAATTACTGCGACACAGTACAATGGACATTGATGTTTGCATTCTCATATGAAAGACCGGTCTCTATTTAGTCCCACAGTGGAATTCAAACCCATAATGTAAGGATCAGCTCCTTACTGCGCGACTCAGAGCAGACACTCCAATCACTGCCACGCGGGTGACAAAACTAATTATAAGAATGAAGTATCACAAGTTCCTCTTCAAGAAACAAAGGTTAAAAATTTGAAAAATAAGTAATGCATCATCGTTTAAAATGTGTTTCAAAAATCAGACATAGCAACGCCAGTTTCTCAGCAAACATTTCAAAAAATATTATCCATTTTATGTTTCACAGCTGTATGATATGTATTTGTCAGTCGAGTCTATTAACACCTATATTCTGAAGCATGTCTCCTAAAAGGGATATATGCATGTAAATATTTAGATATATATGTTTATATACAAAGATAGAGATACAGAAAAAAAAATTGTGACCTTCCAACACAGAGGATATCTTTAATAGTGAAACCTATTTTTTAAAAATATGTGCCTTTATAATTATGTAGTTGTCATCAGTTCTGCAGTGCTCTTTCTCTGTTTGATATTAAAGCTGTTAACACCTCTTGCTAGGTTTGCCTGTTTGGGATTGGCAAATAAGGTCAAAAAGTTCAGCTTAGATAGTGTTTATATATTACGTAGTAAAGCATTTCTAGCATTTCTAGGTGATTCTCTGTTTGACATTTAAAGGTCGTTAGGTCGTTAGTTTTTTATTGCATGGACTTCTTTTATTTCTTGTTTCATTCTTGGTACAGTGTACACAAATCCAAAACGACAATGAAGGGGAGAAAAGAAAAAGAAAGCAAAAGAAATTGTTTTGTTCTCAAACTTCCTGTATTGTTATAATACAGACTCCACTCCACGACTCCACTCCATGACTCCACGACTCCACTCCACTCCACTCAGCTTTTTACCCCAAGCCGTGAAGAGTATACTGACTTTAGTAATAGATAGTATGGCTGCGTTGATCAAATATTCAAATTTAGTTTAAATATCTTTTTTTATACCAAAGTCTTTAGTAAGATGGATTAAAGAATCTATAGGACTGTGGCGAATATTTCAAAGCAAATGATATGCAAGCGCGGATTAAAAAACAATACAAAGACAAACAAATACTTTCATTGAATGATTAATCTTGTCTTAAATGGACTGTAAAGCAAAAGTTACACATACTGCAACCTAAACCTAGAATTTATTGAGTATTTCAACTGTTTTTAGGTTAAATTGGTAGGATCTTTGTAACACTGCAAAAGATGGCCTCCAGTACAACTAAAGCACAAGACGTTATCTTGTGTCACCTCTGTGACAGGAGACCCGCCCTTCTTCACTGTAATCCCTGCCAGGTCGACTTATGTGAAAAATGCGTCGGAAAACACTATATGACGTCATCGTCCTCTAATCATGAGATTGTCAAATACCGAGAGAGAAAATTTCATCTTTCATTTCCAAACTGCAAAGCCCATAGCGGAGAAAAATGTACTGTTCAGTGCCAGAATTGTGATGTAGAAGTTTGCTTTAAATGTCTCAGCGGGGACCATAATGGCCATCGAATTGTTGAGATTAAGGACATTGTTGAAGAAAAGAAAAAGCTTTGGGAGAAAGACACAGCTTATTTAAAAGAAGATATCATTCCAAAACTTGAAAAAGCAGATACAGAAATAGAATCCAAATTAGCTACTTTAAATGCTAAATGTGACGAATTAGAACAATCAGTAACAAAACATGGGCAAAAATGGCAGCAATGCATTGAAGAAATCGTGGCGAAAAACAAGAAAGATATTGCAGAAATGAGAGGAAACGGCATAAAGAAATTAAAAGAATACCAGAAGGAAATCAAAAATAATCTTGATAAGCTAAATGAAATTGCTCTTCAAAACGAAATGATTTTTCAGTCCATGGACATTTGTCACATCACAAAATATGAAAGCAATATTCAGAAGTATCTAGGGGTTCCCTTACACATAGAAATGGATCTACCAGCTTTTGTTTCCAAAGACATAGATAAAGGTAAACTTTACCAAGATTTTGGAAAGGTAAAGAAACCCGAGATCAAAACAGGACCGATCTACAGATCAGATGTATCCAGTGAACTCCTAGACAAAGCCATAGAAATCGCATCCTTCCACACTGAAATAACACCGTTGATGAGGATGGCATGTCTGGATACAGATGAGGTGTGGGTAACTGGGAGGAATAATAAAACCGTTACTCGTATTAACCTACAAGGTTCTGTACAGGAAACTATAACTTCTACTTGTCGAAACCATCCTAGTGATATTTCAGTTTCAAATGAAGGGCATCTACTGTACACAGACTTGGATAATCAAGTAATCAATGATGTCCATCAGACAACAGCACAGATCACAACACCACAGGGATGGAAGCCAGTTGGACTGTGTTGTACACAATCAGGTGATTTACTGGTCAGTATGTGTACATCTAATGATGAGCATTATAAAATTGTCCGTTATGAAGGTCAAACAATAAGGCAGGAGATAGAGAAGGACGACCAAGGTCATCCACTATATAAAGGAGGAGAAAATATGCTGTTTGTGACGGAAAACAATAGCGGGGATATCTGTGCCTCTGACGTCAATGGTAAGATAGTCGTTGTGGTGAATAAGGCAGGAAAACTACAGTTCCGATATAAAGGACAACAAACGATGAAGAAGCAATTTGATCCAACCACTATTGTCACAGACTCCTCTGGTCGTATAATAGTAAAGGATGTTGGTAATTCCTGTACCCACATTATTGATCAGGACGGTCAGTTTCTCCGTCGTCTGGATTTCTGTGGAATAATGAGTGTGGACACAATGGGACGACTGTGGGTGGGGGAGTATAAAAGTGGAATTGTAAAGGTCATCAAATATACAAAATAAATGATTTGATTTCTTAAATACAATCTGCGAGGAAATATTATGAAGAATATTTTTTCATTAAATAAGTTCTTGTTTAAAAAAAAAAAAGAATAATTAAAAAATTAAAATGTAGTTTGAGGTGGTATTTCATCAATACAGAAATATAGAAAAAATCATTTGCTAAATTGAACCTTAAATTAATGTAAAAAAATATGCGAAATTGTAAATCAAAATACTATGGCTGCAACAATGGACTCGGAAATAATTATGTTGGGAATAAGTCAACGTTTTAAATAATTCAAAAATCATGATGTTTTATTTAATATTGCTTTAAGTTTTATCTATAGATATTTTTATCATGACATCATGATAATTATGTAAAGGGATAATCTTGTTGATCACAATCTAAATTCCTGTATAACCATAACATGTCCAAAACATAATTCTGAAGTTAAGGTTGCACTATTTTTCCGAATAAAGTTGTGTTTCGAATAAAATAATGTCAGTTGATGTATACGGTTATGATGGGGAATATTAACGCAAAAAATACTAAATGTATTATTGACATTCTTTTTTAGTTATGCTTCTGTTTACCCTTGAATTAGGGTTTGTTCATACATACATTGTAATGTGCTATCTTAAACCTTTAATTTAACATTATGATTTTTAAAAAATGATTAACACTAGAATATTTTGTAATATTGGCAGTAATACGTAATCTCTGTAGCATGGTAGATATCACTTATGTATATTGACAATACTTAGATATGTGAAATAAAATAAATGTTTACGTTCAGGAAAGAACAATTTGGTTTACCTGAAGAATAAAGGCTTGCCTCATTGAATGTAATTTAACGACAATGATGCATGTCCCTTCTTTTAGTTGAAATGGGGGAGTAGTTTTGGACGATTTTTTTGTTTCGAGTTGGCAACTGAATGCCAATCGGTTAATAAGAAGTTGGAATGAAAACATAAGTACCGTGTTTCTGTTTTTCTGTTTCAAAAGTTGATAATGATATCAAATTAAACTTTTCACTCAATTTTTTTTTATATTTCTACGTATTTTTAATTACACTAAGTCGTAAATGATTTTTTTAATTTTAAGAAATTTAACAAGAACAGGACAATAAACTGTCGTGTCTCTTTACTGAATTTTAAGTATATGATTCAGAGATCACCCAAATACCCGCGGTTAATGGAGACTGACAGTTTGGAAAAAAATTGATCTAATTTTTTAAACCGGGGTTCCCAGAGAAATCATTGCTCTATGCACACAACGAAAAAAAAATTGGATTCAAAATTTTTGATACAAATTTTGTTTTCAACGAAGGGTTATCTAAATTCTATGCTTCATTTGAAGGAAAAGGTTGTTCTAATTGTAGTTACCCCTTCCGTACGTCAGGAAAAAAGTATCCCGAAAATTAATAGATTTGGGCATTTATGAGTAACAATGTCACCCACCCCTCATCTTCGCTAGCCAAGGGTGACGATCCGCTCCTCTCCTCTTTTCAAGGAGGAAAAGAGGAGAGGAGTGGATCGTCACCCTTGGATAGCGAAGATGCCCCCCCCCCAAAAAAGTAACAAGTCTTGCCTTTTTTTAATATAAATTACAAAACGTATTTTAAATGTATTTTATATTGAGAGGAGTCTGTATCCTTCTTGTATTAGTTGTCATCGAGTTGATATCTAGGTTATATCCATAGTAACCATTGTAATTATATGTCAAGTCATTTAAGATGTCACAAACATTTTCAATTCAAATATTATAATGTTTAAATAGCTGATTCGTTGTCCATATAACTTTCTCTCATAGTGTTTGCTGTTTTAATTTTTTGTTGTTTTAAGGCTTCAGTACCCATACCATTGTATAGATTTGTACTACTCATGTTCATAATATTTTCTCAATATATTGCGTATTAAATTAGAAAAAGCCTGAACATTTCCAGTTCATTAGATATATGTAATACATACTTCCTGATGCATGACCATGTAAAGTTTCAAACACTGACTTATCAAGAAAATTTGATTTTGTCTGATTCTTAGGTGGGTCGGTCCTTCCAAATATTCAAAGAAAGATAATTGAATTAGAAAGCGCAACTTTATTTTTCTATATTTTTAAAGAGATTTTTTTCATGTAAAGCAACACGACTTAGCTAATTCTGAAGTTAATTCTAAAGACAAACTTGATTATTGGATTAATGAAAAAAGTAAACAAATATTTGTGTGTAGAAGGCGGGACAAAAACAAAACTTTTCAAACCGAAAGTTGAACTTTGGAACAGGCTGATATTGAAAATGAAAGAGATAATGGTATTTTTTACACATGTATTTATTATGGCTAGTATTAGAATTTACTTTTTAGTGAAATGTATGAAATTGTTATCCATTGTTGACACATTTATATATTGACCGAGGCGAAGCCACAATAGCTGGGGATAACAATTTCAACGTTAGCCGAGAAAAATCCATTGGCAATTTCTTCTCTGGATATACTGAATGTATTCATTTAGAATGAATTTAAAATAAAAAAAATTATGCTGAAGATACGTGCATATTCTCCACAGTTATTAATTTATATACTGAGTATTATCCATCGTCATGCATTTTTCAACCGTTGTGATGTATTTAGGGCTGGACGTGGCTTTGTACACTGTTTATTTGCCCTTATTGTCACATTCAAATCCTCTCATAGTTTATGAAGGATGCAAAAATATCAAGATAAAACAAAACAAAACAAAAACACCCACATGAATGAATTATTTTATTGAGATTTGGTCTGATTCTAGATTGAATACATCGAAGATTTGTTCTCTGCAGAAGATGGCCACCAGTACAACCAAAGCACAAGACATTATCCAGTGTCACCTCTGTGACAGGAGACCCGCCCTTCTTCACTGTAATCCCTGTCAGGTCAACTTATGTGAAGAATGCGTCGGAAAACACTTTATCCCGCTTCAGACAAATTTGTCCATTACTGATTGGATAAAAGCTAATCACGCGACGCCCTGAAATTTTCCGTATTAGGTCTCCGTTTCCGTATTACGTCTCCGTCGAGGCGTAATATGAAAATCGGGCACGCGATTCCGTTCGAAGCGTTGTTATATTGTAAATAGGTCTAAAAATGGCGGCTAAGAAACTGTTTACGTAGGTAGTTTAGTTGAATTTCTTGTAATAACGGTATTTTATGTTGATTGTTATTGGATTAAAACTTAATATTTTCATAATATGCACAAATATTTTGTTTATATTGAAAAAGGTCTTCAGCGGGATAAATTCGTAACACAGTCAGTTAGTGACCTAATACGGATTCATACAGGGTCTGAAATGAAAATCCGTATTGGGACTCGCCTTCGCCTCGCTCAATACGGATTTCCCTTTCAGACCCTGTATGAATCCGTATTTAAGGTCACTAACTGACTGTGTAACTAATAATACATGTATGACGTCATCGTCCTCTAATCACGATATAGTCAAATACCGAGAGAGAAAATTCCACCTTTCATTTCCAAACTTCAAAGCCCATAGTGGCGAAAAATGTACAGTTAGGTGCCAGAATTGTGATTTAGAAGTTTGCTTTAAATATGTCTCAGCGGGGCCCATAATGGCCATAGAATTATTGAAATTAAGGACATTGTTGATGAAAAAAAAAAGCTTGTAGAGAAAGACACAGCTTATCTTAAAGACGACATCATTCCGAAATTAGAAAAAGCAGATACAGAATTAGAATCCAAATTAGCTGCTTTAAATGCTAAATGTGACAAATTAGAACAATTAGTCATTGAACATGGAGATAAATGGCAGCGATGCGTTGAGGAAATCGTGGCAAAAAACAAGAAAGATATTGCAGATATGAGAGGAAATGGCATTAGAAAATTAAAAGAATACCAGAAGGAAGTCAAAAATGCTCTTGAAAGCCTAAATGAAATTGCTCTTCAAAACGAAATGATTTTTCAGTCCATGGACGTTAGTCAAATCACAAAATATGAAAGCAATATTCAGAAGTTTCTAAAGATTCCTTTACAAATAGATCTGGAACTACCGGCTTTCGTTTCCGAGGACTAATAAAGGAAAACTTTGCCAAGATTTTGGAAAATTACTAGTAACAGAACCCAAGATACAAACAGAACCGATCTACAAATTAGATATATCCAATGAGCTTCTAAGAAAAAGCTGTAGAAATCGCATCCTTCCACACTGGAATAACAGATTTGAGGAGGATAGCATGTCTAAATACAGAGAAGGTGTGGGTGACAGGACATAATAGTAAAGCCATTACTCGTATCAACTTACAAGGTTCTGTGCAGGAGACCGTTATCTCTACTTGTCCAAATCATCCTAGTGACATTTCAGTTTCAAAAAAAGGACATCTGCTGTACACTGATGTACAAAATGAAGTAATCAATGACGTCCACCAGACAAGAGCACAGATCAAAGCACTACAGGGATGGAAACCAGTAGGACTGTGTTGCACACAATCAGGAGACATACTGGTCAGTATGCGCACATCTAATTATGAACAACGTAAAATTATCCAATATGAAGGCCAAACAATAAAGCAGGAGATAGAGAAGGACGACCATGGTCATCCACTATATAAAGGAGGAGAATACATGCTCTCTGTGACGGAAAACAACAACGGGGTTATCTGTGTATCTGACGTCAATGGTAAGATAGTCATTGTGGTGAATAAGGCAGGAATACTACGGTTCCGATATAAAGGAGAGCAATCTAAGAAGGAGCAGTTTTTTCCTACTAGTATTGTCACAGACTCCGCGGGTCGAATAATAGTACGGGATGTCAGGAATTCCTGTACCCACATCATTGATCAGGACGGTCAGTTTCTCCGTCGTCTAGATTTATGTGGAATAATGAGTCTAGACACACTGGGACGACTGTGGGTGGGGCAGTTTGAGAGTGGAAATGTGAAGGTCATCACATATACAGAATAAACGGTTTGATTTCTTTAATACAATCTGCGAAGAAATATTATAACAATATCTACATATTCTTTTTAATAATGGAAATTCTTTTAGTGTCACTGTGGTTTTTCATCAATCGTCATAAAATAGAGAAATATGATAAATGGGACCTTAAATTTCTAAAATACTCAAGATGTAACAACATGCAAAGATTTTAATGTTCAGGGATTAAGTCAGTGTTTTAGTTATTGATTTGAAAATTCATTTAAAAAAAGACAATTTTTAAAGTGTGTTTAATAATCTAATCTAATTATGAATATTTTTTTCATATTGTGATGATAAAATCTAAAGAGATCAGCTTAATGAAAACAAACTTAATGCGAATTTCAAATTACTAAATAACAGTAATTTTTCTAATAGATGTGGCTGAAGGATGGACATTTTATTCAGAATATTTTTAAAGTTTAACTTCAGATAAGTCGCATCCATGTTCTGTTATGACTACCTGTATAAACTTTTATATTTCATACACCTTAGAATTTCATTTTGTTTTATTAAACTAAAGTTAAATAGCCTAGAAGCAGTTTTAGGTCTTACATGAATCCCAATCTAAATTAAAAGAAACTGTTTACTTGAAAGAAATTTCTAAAACAATGTTTGTCTTCCTCTAAACGTTCCTCCAGTCGCCTGCCTCTGGTCATTGAAACATTACAATATCAGCTACAACCAAAATATTTCTTTCTTAAAAATAGGGAGATATTTCAAATGTACTTTTTTGTTTGGAATTTCGATTTTATCAAAAAAAACATGAAATCATGTAATTAGAACAGATAAAGCTGGTCAAATATAGGTCCTGTATATAATAAACCATTAATTAGATTCTGTCCTAAGTACGACATACAGAGAGGATATACCGGTAAAGGCTGGTGGTTTCGTTTACATGTGAATAACTACTTGCTTTCGATTGAATGCGTTTTTGTTCATTGTTTGTGTAAAAATAAAAGAGAAGAGGCCCCAGAATGCAATTTTTATCATTTTTAAATATTATCAAAGGTGAAAAGAGATTTGTTTGAGAGAAATAATTTGGGGGGGGGGGGGCACGTTTGATACATAACTATGTCTTCACATTTTTTGGAGGGGGGTTGCACTTCTGTGTCGATAGGCAATAAAAGTTATAAAATAGATGGTTGTTTGGATTTTATTTATTTCACAGTGTTACATTTCTTCTGTAATAAGACAATACCATGTATACATCGATGATTTAAACAATAAAATGCGTTCTTTGTTTGTTATTACTGGAATTAACGGAAGCAGCTATTGCAGAAAAAATGCATAACCCGCATAAGCGGGTTATGTAAATTTTTTCTGCAATAGCTGCGACTGTTAATTCCAGTAATAACAAACAAAGAAAGACATTTTATTGTTTATATTTATATCTGTTTAAATAATCATTTAAAGTAGGATTGAATAGATTAATAATTAATTATTGTTTTAATGTTGCAAACGTCTTTATACGTTTCATTGATGGAACAGCCATCACATTCACATGGAGGGGGAATTATTGTTTATATATCAGAATCTCTTCGAGCCATTAGGCGTAATGACCTTGAACCTACTTCAATAGAATGTATCTGGTTAGAAGTGTGTGTACCCACCTGTAATTTTCTTCTATGCTGTGTATATCGTCCACCAAACAGTAGTATTTCCTTTTGGGATAATCTTATATGGTCTATTGAAAAAGCTTCTGATATTTCCAGTAAATTAATGTTAGTTGGAGATCTTAATGTAGATTTTTTTAACATTCCCCGAACACACATCATAAACGAAATTCTGTTAAAATACAATCTCACTAACACTATCCATGAAGCCACTCGTATCACGGGCTCGTCGAACACACTTATTGACCCAATTTTAGTCAACCCAGATATGTCAGTTCTTCACTCAGGCGTGTTAAATACAGAAAGTACAATCAGCGATCACAAAGCGACATACATTTTCCTCAAATCTACTGTTAATTTAAACCAATCTTATGAACGTAAAGTGTGGGTATATAAAAATGCAGACATAGACAAATTGAATTCACTCATTGAAAATACTGATTGGGTGAATCTCATTTGTAATGCACAAGATGTTGATCAAGCAACGGAAAACTTCTCTTTGACATTTATGAATATAGTTAGACAAAGCATACCAGAACAATCTGTTATTATACGGCCCAAAGATAAACCATGGTTTGATTCTGCACTGCGCAAAACTCTTCGAACAAAAAATAGACTTAAGCGAAAAGCCCAAAAAAGCAAAAAAAAATCTGATTGGACAAATTTTAAACAAGTGAGGAATAAGTTTAATAATATGAAAAAACATGCAATAGAAAATTACAACAATAATCTAGAATTACACCTTATGGATGCTAGCAAAAACAACTCGAAATTATACTGGAAAATACTGAAGGATGTTTTTAAAACAAAAAATGCCTGTGATATTCCACCATTACAATATATATCTGATAGTGGTCGTACAGATATTGCTTATTCAAACGAAGAGAAAATAGATGCACTTAATAACTATTTTACATCTGTATCATGTGTTGATGATAGTGATCTAGAATTACCTGAGGCATATCATGTATGTAACAGTGAAATTAGTAGTGTACACTGTATGTATTACTGAGCAAGAAATAATTGATATTGTAACTATTCTTCCAACAAACAAAGCTATTGGTCATGATAATATTAGTCATTAGATGTTAAAATCAGCAAAGTTTACTATTGCTAAACCTCTTTGTTTATTGTTTAATAGATCTCTAAGTGAATGTATTTTTCCCTCTGCATGGAAATTAGCAAATGTACTTTCTCTATTTAAAAAAGAAGATCCTTCTGTGATGTCTAACTACAGACCAGTGTCATTGTTGAGTTGTGTTGGGAAAATCATGGAAAGAGTTGTGTTGAAATATATTTATAATTATTTTCATGACAATAATCTTTTTTATAAATACCAGGCTGGTTTTTTACCTGGGCATTCAACAGTATACCAGCTGATAGAAACATATGATAATATTGTTAAAGCTATTGATGATGGAAAATTTTGCTGTATGATTTTTTGTGATCTGTGAAAAGCATTTGATCGTGTCTGGCACAAAGGTCTTTTATTTAAGCTTAAGACATATGGGATTACTGGTAGTTTGTATAAATGGCTTGAGAATTATCTGAATTGTCGGTACCAAAGGGTGATGCATAGGAACTTATTATCAACGCCCAAACCCTTATATGCTGGTGTTCCCCAGGGCTCAGTTTTAGGACCACTTTTGTTCTTAATTTATGTTAATGATGTTGCTGATAATATGGTTACTTTTTGTAGATTATTTGCTGATGACAATTCTTTGCAGCATTCGTCTCATAATATGAAAATAATTGAAAGAGACTTAAACAAAGATTTAAATGCTCTGGAACTATGGTCTAAAAAACGGTTATTGAAATTTAATCCCTCTAAAACAAAAGTAATGATGTTTAGCACAAAGAAAAATATAGAATATCCTAAGCTTCTATTTCAACAATGTGAATTAGACTTCATTACGGAACACAAACACCTCGGAGTACTATTTTCACACGATGCCAGTTGGTCACCACATATTGATAATATACTGTCTATTGCTTACAAAAAATTGTCCCTTTTAAAAAAATTAAAATTTAAAGTAAATTGAAAAACACTCTCACTCATGTATACATCATTCATAAGACCGCAACTTGAATACGCTTCAGTGGTGTGGGGGTGCTGTCAACAGGGTGATAGTGATAAATTAGAAAAACCAACTTTATGCAGCTGGAATTGTAACAGGGTTAACAACTATAGCTTCCCAAGATTCACTTTATTTTGAAACGGGATGGGAACCGCTTAGTTGTAGAAGACAAGAAGCTAGATTAATGTTCAAACTTCATAATAATTTAGTGCCAGAATACTTAATGGACATCCTTCCAAATATGCGCTGTAACACATCTATCTACTCGACAAGAAATTCTCAAAATTATGATATTCCAAAGTGTCGATTACAAACTTATAAGTCTACGTTTATTCCTACTGTAGTTAACGAATGGAACTCCATTCCACTTGAAACTCGAAATTTACAGTCAATGTCGAAATTCAAATCTAAAATAAGTAATAAAAAATCTAGATCTGCCCCACCTTCTTACTTTGATTACGGTAACAGAAGACTTAATGTTCTTCAAACCAGACTACGACATAATTGTGTATTAAATAACGACCTTTATAGATGCAATTTAATATCAAGTCCCTTGTGCACATGTGGTAAAGTTGAGGACACATACCATTATTTTTTCGTATGTCCAAAGTATGTGAATGCCAGAAATGAATTTTTAAATAAATTTTTACAATTTGATAAAATCCACATATTAGATACACATGTCTTATTATGGGGGGTTGAATCACTGAGTGCTGCAGAGAATGAACGTCTCTTTTCTTTTGTTCAAACATTTATTAAGCATTCTGGTAGATTTCCTTGTTAATTACTGTACCTATATATTAATATATGAATTTGTTAAACTTTTATATATTTATACATAATTATGCAAAATGCATCAATTTGTTTACTTTTGCAAATTCTGAATCCTTTATATAGCATGTTTAACTGTGACAATATCAATGTGTAATTTACATGTATAGGGAGAGAGCGTTATAAGTATTAAGTACTTGTGCTCAATCCCTTTGTAATTATATTACAATAAATATGTTCAAACCAACAGCCAATGATCAAGAAATCTGTACAGGCGACATGCCCTAAGTTCATGCAGTGATTAACGCAATAGGTTTTCTTAAGAGATAAAGGAGAAAATATTCAGTAGATGTAAATATATGATAATAACGATAAAGGTAAAGATAATACATGTGTATGCAATAAAATAAAAAGTCTTCCGTTTTATATCTAAGTTTGCTGTCATCTTTGTAAGCTCTTGGTTTGGATGAAGGAGTCACATTGGGAATACTAAATAATTTTCTTACAAAGTACACTTGAAAACAAGACGTTGCTAAAATAGAAACAATCTGGAAAACGGACCAATACATGACGTAAGCATTATTTCCGGTCAGTAAATACCAGTCCTTTATAACGTTCATTCTACTAGTGGCTTGGTGCAATCGTACTTGGTCTATAGACTTTTGAACCTCTGTGATGGAAGTCTGCAAAGAAGCAATGAATTATAAAGAGGCAGTTAGAATAGTGCAAAAATTAATTGTACGAGATGTTTGTATGTTTTCAGATAATGAAGTTCTACTCCTTGTTGACAATTTTCATTTCTTTCAGACAAGTTAGTGCAATTTCATTGCAACCTCATACCAGCTAATCTTTATTCTAAATATTTACATGCAAGTACAGATTCTTCTCCTTTATTTCTTATAAATAAACACTTCCTTTATCAATCGATAAATTCCCGTTAGAACTTTTTTCAATTTAATTTACTTTTCAGTCAATTACACATATATTAATGACAAGCATATATAACAATAGTACAATATTTAACTGACTTAAATCTATACATTATCCAATTTTAAATGATTTTAAAAAAAAAAGATATGACTATAAATGTCTTTCATTGTTAGTACGGGAATGAACTGTTGCAACTAAGGCAGAAATAAATATATAGAACGACTACACGACTTGCAGCAACAGTAACGTAATACTGCTCAATCGCGTTTAGATGTCTCACCGTGAAATTTTGAACTGTTGTTTGCAATCCCTCTACTTCGGCTACATACTTGGTCCATTCTTCTTCAACCACCGTCACAATATAAATGTATACAAGCTTCGATAAAAATCTGCTATGAATATTTTGAACACATATCTGATAATTTACTTAATTGTTATTTTTATGCATATTGCTATGAGAAGTAAATATATATTAATTGTACAACTACAAGAAGAAATATCCATTGGAAAAAAACAACAGTATGCATTGCATTGTCCAAATATATGTATAATGATTTTTTTCGTTAACAAATCTGAGATTTCATTTTTTTTATTTTCAAATCAACAACAACAACAACTCTAGGTGACTTCCAAAAAACAATGTTGCAAGTTCATTTTTCCATGTGATGTTTAATATCTACAGATCGAATCAATAAATCCTCATTACAGATTATAAAGCATATATTGACTATCTAGTATATTAGTCATACCAGTGTCAGGAGCCGTGTATTCTATACTCCCTTCTGATTTGTAAATAATTTCTTTGATCATATTATTATATCCATCCTTCACATAAAAGTCTACTATACGATCACCGCCTCGAAGAACCTGAAAATAGAATGCAAGAATCATGGAATATGCTTTTCATTAGATGAAATAAATTAAGTCATATTTATTAACCGGATGATAAAAATAAATTAAAACTTTCCAGGGAATTCTAGTATCCATAGATGAAGGATGAAAGTAAGTTAAATATATCATCTAATATGGACGTAGCAATGTGTCGCTTACTTTATAAGGACATAACACAATACTTGTATACTATACTTGTCAGCAAAGGTATCCGGATGCATGATCAACTATCAGGCACTTAGCAACAGGCCTGCCCCCCCCCCTTTCCCCCGACATTACTTTTACTGAAGGAAATGTCCATTGAAAAACATGGTTGCCCCCCCCCCCCCCCCCACTTTTTGCCGCAGTATATTCATAGCAAAGAAATATAGGAAAAAATTGAAGTTGGCCTTGAAAAAATTTGGCCACTACCCCCCCCCCCCCCCAAATTAGGTGAACGTTGTTAATTATTAATCTATATATTCTAAAAGAAGCTTCAAGCATATACGAACGACACGCGGAAACAGACGTTTTACTTTTGGCCTTAGACAGAGTAATTAAGGTACTAGTATATATCCTTTAATGCTGTGAAATCATTATTTTTTCGAGGGATGTCATTTTCGTTGTTTACGGGGTATGGAGAGACCAACAAATTCATTTCCAACACGAAAACTAAAGTTCAAATATGCATTATTTCTACATGTAAACATTTTCTAACAATGAAATCAAATTCCTACAAACCAATATTTTCCCCCAGCCTAGAAATTTTTACCCCACCACTACATGTACATTATAGTATTTCCTTGTAATCCGATCTTTGAATTTTGGAGTTAAACTTGTAAACCATGTAACTATACAATAGTACATGCATTTCATAGGTATTGTCTACGCCAGATAGTGTTTCATTGTTTTTGCTTTTAGCATTTTGTATCTAACTGTACGTACATATGTACGGCCCGCCTACCTCAAACGAAGCATAAAGATTAGCATTCTGTGCCACTCTCTGTACAAAACATTCCTCCTGGCTTGCAGGAACCTCTATTTTGAATTCGTGCTGAGCCCCAGGGAGGCCATCAAAGCTAAAGTCCTCATGCAGTGTTCTCCTCAGTAACTCGTTCTGGTATCACTTGGAGAAATAGATTCCAAAGACACGCCGTACCTAGCACGACATATGTTGAGAACATATTGTTTATCACCAGGACGTAAAATTTGTTACAGAATAGCGAGATAATCGATACAATCATACATTGTGTCTAGCTTGTACAGAGACAACTGTCGTATGGCTAGATTGTAATGACGATAAAGGACCTTTCATTAAAACTTGACATATGAATAATCGAAATATAGAAAAACACCCTTGCAGCTATAAGCATTTTTGATATCATTGTAAATACATGTATGGTTAAAATTCTGTTAGAGAACTCACGACTAGCTTAATTTTTTAGCCATTAACTTTCAGTGGAATTTATGAAATCAAGAACGAGGGCGCTCTTGATTGGCATTCGGCAGGAATCTGGGCGTGATTGAAAAGTAAAAATTTTATCGACATGTCAGATGAAATTTTAACATTTTTTTAATTTAACGGGTTCCTGTGCAGCAGGAAAGGAAAATATTTTCCCGAAATTGAGCTTTGATTTGCTAAAAAATTACTTGAAAATTTGCCAAATCAGACATTTGGTACAAAATTGTACATTTTTAAACACGTTTTTCTAAACTTTTTCTATCTCTGGTTCTTCTCTCCATGATTTTGAAACGTTATTTGTGTGTATTTTAATCCAAAGAAACGAATACACTTTTTTTAAAAAATGGAGAGAAGACCCATAGACCACGAAAAAAGAACTTTTCCCAAAAAATCCAAATGTGTTAATGTGGTGCTTCGTTGTCCTTTTAAAATCGTCTGAAGACTTGTAGCGGTGATAGTTCAGTAAGTTGTGCTACCTGTCCAGTGCACTCGAAGCGGAAAGTTTTTGGTTCGAGCCTGGAATGGGGCGATAATTTTTTTTTCATGCAATCAACCATTTATTTTGTCAGTTTCCTTTTATGTACTGATGTATTAAAACTTTGAATTAGATAAATTTTGGTTCAGTTTTGTACTCGAGCGAAATCAATTCTAATCTTCTATTCTATAATGTACATGTACACGTATCATACATCTATGCACTAAATATTTTAAGTGTTTATTTTTTGTGTAACATTACTATGGTATAGTACCCCCTAGGAAAAACGGACATAAATGTTACAATTACACAAGGTCTTTCAAACTAAATGAAAAAAACCTATGGACGTGTTTGTAAAATCTGACCAGCTATGTTCAGCCAACCAAATCATGGACATTTAAACATAAATGTTTCGTACAAATGATTCCTGCAGATCACTCGCCAAATGCGCCCATCTTCTTTACATTATTTGGCTCAAGACTTTTTTATCTTTTGCTGCTAAACACGTACAATTCCTGTTTGAGAAGCGGTAGCGGATTCGGAACATCTAATTTTTAATTTCCGATCACATGATATGTTTAATTTACAATTAAATTTATAGAAATAGGATAAACGTTTGCATCCTATAAATTAGGAAAGATTCCAGAATAAACAACATCGGGATTAGACAAGATAGCTTAAACTTTCGTTTCGTTGTTTTTTTGTTTTTTTTTTGAAATTGAAAATTAAAGACTAGTGAGGTCAAGGTCACAGGAAAGTGCAAGGTCAAAAGTTTTTGAAATAGTTTGAATAGCTCTCACAGATACGTATCAGCATATTCAGTTTGATAAAAATATTTTGAATTGGTTTTTTTTTAAACTGCACTAAACACTGACCAAGAAAATGGTTTCTTAAAAATAGAGAAAATCCCCAATTTCAGAAAAGTGAGGTCAAGGGCAAAATGAAAGGTCAAGGACAAAAATGTGAAGCAATTGATAGCTCTCATCAGCGTGTGGTTGAAGGTGTTATGAAGTTTGATTACACTATCTTGAATGGTAAGTGAGATAAAGGTCAATGGAAAGGTAAAAATATATTGATAAAATTGCAAAACTTACATTAGTATGTATGCATATGAAGTTCGATAATACTATCATGAAATTATGGTTTCTTTAAACTGTTCTAAACACTAATTTAAGAAAAGTGAGGTCAAGGTCTAAGGAAAGGTCAAGGTAAAAAAATGTTGATGCAGTTAAGTGGCCTTCATCAAAATCTACCAGCAAAGGAAGTTTGATTAAAAAAAAATACCTTGAATAGTTTACATGAAACTGAGCTAAACGCAAAGCGGGACGGAAGGACGGACAGAATGACGGAAAACGGGCATGACAAACTATATATATCCCAGCCATTTTCATGGCGGGGCATAAAAATATCTGACCAGTGTAAAGAAAAATTCAAGAACTATAAGAACACATGTAAATTATTCTGACCACCACTTAATAATTTGATTATCGTCTGCAATTGGCTTGATCATGTCCCATGCCATTGGCTGAGTAATATCACGTGGTATTATATACGGTCTCCCTGCCTTCTTGTATGCACACCTAATTCTGTCCCTTTCTGTCGTGGGGTTTTCGTAGTTTGTCTCTGAACTGCTTGGTGATAAATCGTGGAGAGCAAAACTCAACTCTGGCTGAAGTAAAATGAAGCAGTTTTCACAACCAAACGCATATCTACTGTTTGTTTCTGGATAAAACGGTCCAAATGTTGTTATGAAAAATGTCACATTATTGAACTCGAAAACCCATCTTCGTTTTGCAACATAGGATTTGTTCATACATCTAACTCCCCTCGGGTCGTTGTCTGATATCACTTTGAGTATTCTTCTGAAAGTCTTGGCAAAAACCTGGACAGAAAAGTGTTTTTATTAATTTTAAACTAAATGTATATTAGCTGAATCGTTTAATTTATCTTGATTATATTTGGTGTGATTTTGCCTACAATTGCCATGTGAAGCAATAGCCCCAGGTGACTTTACTGGAGAGAAAAAAAAATATATATATATATATTTATATATATATATATATATATATATATATATATATATATTTTTACCTAGCTGTACTCCCCTCAGAAAAATTCATGGATCCGCGCCTGTACAAATTTATACACAGACGTAAAATGAAGTTTAAGAATAAAAATTTATTTATTTCTGGATCATGCATTAATTATTATCTAAATGTCTACCTTTTTATTAATACAGTTATATTATCCTTTCGTCAACATATTTTTAACAAACTTGGTTATCCTCTAAAGCTAGCTTGAGCTTTCAGCTCAGGTGAGCTAAAATACCAAAGAATTTAATCCATACAGACATGAAACTTCAATGTGCCTGAAAACATGTATTGTTTGACAATTCTCACCAAAAACTATCGTCACCTTAATTAATTTGTACTACAGAGCAGAATCGTCTTTACCTGTATGTTCTTCCGATGGAATTCATCTGGTACCTCGATCAGAAAACCGTCAAGTTTATACTGACGACAGACAAGGGTGAAGTGCAACAAGGAAGGCAAAAACCTGCAGGGAAATAGAATTTAAACTTAATCTATAACATACAAAATGTTTGGAACAAAATGTAAGGGGAAGTTGATCCCATTTAACATATGCATGAATAATTAAGTTTCAACTTTGTTAATTTAAAATGTGACTTTTTTTTATTATTTACAAAAAATTAGCGGTAAAATTGATAGATATGTGATTCACTGTGCTTAGAGTCCATCCAAACTAAGTTTAAAAACTAAGTTTGGTATTTGGCGTTTTTGAGTGTCGTGTAAAACAATGTGCTGTCCTCTCGTTCGTGATATAACCCTTGCTTTCTGGTATAAATTCTGTGAGGAGACATGTGTTGACATATTAAAGCAGCAGGTGTTTGAAAGGAAAAGGATATACAGTATCGTACCTGAATGTATTTTCTTCTGGAAAAAAGAGAACAAAACGTTTAGAATGTATTTCACAGAAAATGCTTTTAAATTTAAAAATTTACAATACAAATGTTTGAATATACAGTCATGTAAGAATGTAGTAGTATGACCACGAAATTGGAGAAATTGAATGATAATTCTCACTTCATTACTTGCTTTTAAATAATTACCTAAACTTAAGTCTTCATCCCATTCTTGGTTTCCCCAAAGTTTGGCTCTCTTGGCAAATATACACTCTGTGTTTTCTTGAATGGGTTTAAAATTTTCTATGGCAGGGACCTTGGAAGCATCATATGTCACAAAGTCAAACACAGCCTTATGTACGCTCTTCTTCAGTTCTTCGTCGGTCACCAGGGGGTAAAGTTCATTGACGATTTGTCTTGTGGTTTTATGATCGTCTTCGTTTAAGGAATTGGAATTCTTTGACGGAGAAAGTACATACAGGGAA